GCTTACCAGCCATGCAAGGTATAAGACAGTGTCTGTCCTTCAGTTGTTCATAACACTGGCCAGTGCTAACAAGCGATTAGTTTGCTGTAATTCAACATAAAGTAAAGATGATGGAGTAGATAACATCAGCCTTATGTCTCATGGAATGTTGATGCTTGTCTTTAGTTTTAAAGGATGAATTAACAGAAGCAAGTTAGCAGAGAACAAGTACAGCCAATGAAGGGATAGCAGCCTCAGAGTAGCATTATCAAAACACATACCTGGTTCTGAGAAATATGTTATATATGTATAAATATATATTTTACGTATGTATACTTAAAATTTTGTCTGTTTCATTTGTGAAGGGACAAATGTTGTGTAGTGATGAGAGGAAATGCTGGGGAGGGACTTAAAGGCCAGGTCTTGGAGGATTTTGAACATTTAGTAATGAAAGTTTTTATTGGGAATCTATAGGGGTGGCTACTGAAAGATTTTAAGCAACAGTTTCCTAATGATGTGTGTGTTTTGGAAAAATTAGGGAAGCACAATGATTAGGATAGAGTGAGGTAAAGGGCTGGGAGAACAAGCTACACTCAATGACAGTAATTCAGGCAAGAATCAACACAAACCGAGGTCAGATAAGCTAGCAGAGAGAAAACTGAGTGGTTAGCAGATGGATTAAGGTAGCTAAATTGACAACAGGTTGAAGGGGTTGGTGGGGAAAGGAAACACAGGGACAGTTGTTAGCTTTCTAGTGTAAGCAATTGTTTGATGTGCCATTTGCAGAGACTGCTTGGATTCCCCTAGGTAAAGGTCATTTGTCCATTTCATGATTTGGGAAGCCATGTCCTACACACTTTGAGAGTTTATGACGCCTCAGTTTCCTGAGAAATTGATCTCAAGTGACCCAAATTCTTGTTGTTGATCTCCATCCTGCTGCTGCTCCCCACATCCAAAATATATTTACCCGAAAGTCCAGAACCCAGATGCACTGTCCTCTAGTGGGTCGGTTTATTCTCCTACGAAAAGTTGGTATTCCTTGTATAGGTTGACTTGTGCCATGGCTACGGACATGACTCTCCATTTTTCTTGTGAAGTAACCAGTTACTGTGTACATCTTTCCTTCCTTCCTCTGTCCCCCATATACTCCTGCATTATCCTCTTAGATTCCCTGTTGCTCTAATCTCATCATCTTGTTGGATCATATGTTAATGATCCTGTAGATACAGTGGATAGTGAGGAGTTTACCATGTCATACATAGACAGCAGAAGGCTGTGAAAACAGGTAAAACTCTGAAATAATATTAAAAACAAAACAAACAACAACAAAACAAAGATCCTCCTCACACCCCAAATTTCAGACAGACACACACTATCAGGCACTAATACACAGGCAATTTTCCAATCCTGTAAAGGAAAAATGAAAGGGGTGGATGTCACTCTAAAATGCTTTGGTTAATCAAATCACAGGAAAACAAAATAAAAATAAAATCAAGAGAATAACTGAAAAGAATGGTTCCTCTGGATAACAAACTTACACCCAAGAAAGAAATTTGAAAGTCAAATATTAAATTTAAGTGTCTAGTTTTGTTTTAAGGCAATAACTTTTATTTAGCACAGGGAGATATGCCATTTTTTAAAAACTGTCCTTTCTTTAGTAGGCTAAGATTTCAGTAATAGGAGCTAAGCAAGTCATGTAGCACAGTCTCTATGAAAAAAAGCACAGTGGGGCATTAGAAAGTACAACACAATTCCTCCATATTTGGCTAGAGCTTTTACCAGGCATGGCATAATTTGGAGACATCAGTCAAAGATAGCTACAGCCAACAAGGGTTGGATTGCTGTTTGTAGGCATGTTAGGTGTTGTGGAAATATCCCAGTCAGTTCAAGAGGCCTTTGGCAAAGGAAAAGTACATACTGCCCAGCAAGTTATGTAGTTGATGTCTCTTCAAGGCAGGAGGCGGCCTGCCAGGGGCTGCAGCGTTGCTCAGAAGTGACCCAATCTCCTGCTTCCTCCCAGCTGGAGAAGAACAGCTTGGGATCCAAATGGGGCCGTCTGCTCAGCTAAGGAAAACAGTCTCAAATCTTTCTGACATCTGCACAAAAAGCGGACCAAGAGGTTGTCCCACATGGTTAATAGTGCTGAGGCCAGATTAAACAACTCTGCTTGTTCCTGAGAATTTAGGAGAGCTGGGAGGGTGACAAAACAGGACACAGAGGTTTTGCGGCATTAAGCACTTATGTTCCCAGCTTGTCCTAAGAGCAGGGGCCTTACCTGTTTGTAAAAATACAACATTCTTTCTCTTTCCTCATAAATCACAGATTGGTGCATTGCAATAACCCTGGCAAATAGGCTCAGATATCTCAGACTTGACAAACAGACATTAAGAACACAAGAAACTGTGGAGCCTAAGTCTTCTTAATACCAAAATGCAGCCGTGCACAGTGATAGCTCATTTTCCTCTGCCCCTGCCCAGCAAGCACTCACATTTGCAAAGAAGTTAGACTTGGGCTCCAAATGTTGGGAACCCAAATGAGGGTTCCTCAGAGAATCTTGATAAAATCAAACCTCAGTCTGGGGGTTAAAGAGTGAGGTAGCTCCAGGCATGTGTGCCTGGTGGAGGACCAACCTCTGGAGGACCAGCCTCTGGAGGACCAGCCTCTGGAGGACCAGATTCAGTCACTGTTAAATGATTCCAAAGCATAAGTGGTCGAGGGTTCCTCAGTTCCCTGATGCTTGAGTCTTATCACCCTGTCCCAGTCACAAGTCATCAGGAAACACTGTTTTCTGTCAAACTTCACATCTTCTCTGCTTCCACATGGGCCATTTTGATTTACCATGTCCTTGCAGTGATAAGATCCAACACCTTAAAGGATATGTGCAGGAAATGCCCAGAAGACACAGACTTGCAGTGAATATGTGGACATGTGCTGAGATTCACATGTTATCAGTGAATGAGGATACATTTTACTTGTTGTAGTAGCAAAACTGTGGCAACACAAACATTCACATACCAAGAGAATGAAGATATGAATCCAAAGATACGCTGTGGGGTAATTTTCCAGTAGTTTTAAAAGTTAGGACGGATACATAATAATTCTGATCTTTAGTATCTATGTAGCTATCTGCACAAGAAACTTTAAGTATTTTCAAGACAGCTTTGCCTTTATGAAGTGGCAAAAATACAGAACAACCTAAAATTACTAGCAAAATGGACAGTCATTCAACTAGAGGTCGAAGCAAAACCCTTAAGGATTAACACTCAAAGACACACACACATATACATACATACACACTCAAAACCAACCAACCAACAACAACAAAAATTGAAAATAAACACCCTCTCCCCAAAACATTTCAATTCTATTTGGGAAATAAATTTTTTTAAAAATGAAGAGTGAATGTATATATGTGTGCATACACATTACTGATTACACGTAGAAAAGAGTCACAAAGGCATAGTGGTCCTGAGAGAGCCTCAAGGGGACCTTTGCTTTGTACTCCTGGCACATTGATGAAAAGTGAATTGGGGCCAGCGAGATCGCTCGGCTGCTAAAGGTGATTTCTGCCGAGATTGACAACTAGAATTCCACCCTGAAACACAAATAGTACAAAGAGAGAAACAACATGGTACAAAGAGAGAAAAAAAAAAAGAGAGTTCCACCCCCAAGGCTCAAATGGTCCAGAGACTTGTTATCCTCTGACCTCCACATGCATAAAGTGCCCTCCAACAAAATAAATCAATGTAAAAAAAATCCTTTTAAAAGAACACACTGGCCTTGGTGGCTACAATAAACACAGCTTCACCAGAAGGTAGGAGTAGGTAAGCGAATGAAACAAACAGGTAAGAAATTAAAAGACCCACACAATAGCCAGGAATCTGTCATCAATTTACTGTGCGAAGCCAGGAAGTCATTGTCCCTCTAAATTGGTACAGTCAGTGGACAAGATGAACAGCTCCCTAAAAATGCCTTCCTTTTCTGATAGCTTATGATTTTCTAAGTTCATGTCTTTAATGGGCATGATCCTTTCTGATGAAGAGAGGGCTTTTATTCTTTTCCCTCAGACTCTGGCATAGTTTGACATTTCACTTTACTGCAAATGGAAGATAATGAAAGAGAAGGTGGAACGGTCACCATGTTCCCTCTGCCTATGTGTTTGAAGGTTTGCTTGACCCACTTATGCTACTACCTTCCTCTGACAGTGTAAGCTCTTTCTTTGGCTTATTTGACTTTGATGAGAATGCAAGCATAACATAATTTTAGAAGTTAGAAGATCTAAACTTATGGCACGGTGGCCATAAGTTCTGGGGGGAATCTACCTATAATTTTAGTAGAGTGGATGGCCTTGAATACATTTTCTACATTATACTAAAGACACAGGTTTATTTAGTGAAAATAAATGGTGGCTAAGTATACATAGGCACTGACGGAAATGTGCTTATTGTGATTTACATGGCACTCTGTATGGATGCGTAAAATGCATTTTAAAACATATCCTTTATTTTAATAGAGTATCAGCAAACCATTTTTATAGTTGCCTGCATTTCTGGACTTTACAGCTTCCCCACCCTCTTGCTTCTACCCCCAATAAGCCAGTGATTTGGGAGAAGCTGCACCCCAATCTGTAGATAAAAACGGGATCACCTGTCCCCTAGAGTGGCAGAGAGAAACTAAGTGGATATAAATGAGCTATGAAATTCCCCACGTATCTACAAACATTATCATAATCTGGTTCTGCACAATCTAACTAGCTCTTGGAAACACTCCAATGACACTGTGGGGGAGCCTTGGCATTAAGTCAGTGCAGGAAACTGCTTCATGGTCCCTCAGAGATTTGACCAGTCTCTTTCTGCTTATTAGTAGTGAACAAGGTTCCTGCCAGCTTGTTCTCATCACTTTGCTTGTGCTATGAGGTCATACGAGTAAATTCTACACTATTTAATTTTAAAGGAAACATATAAAACAGATAACATCCTCTGTGACTATTTGTCTTTCAACAACACAATAAGCAACTTACTCTTGCTCCTTTCTCAGGGGAGCATGTACAGCCTCCACTGCAATCTTGGCTCCCACATGGATTTCCATAGGACATCTTCTGTCCCTATTTAAAAAAGAGAAAACAATAGTAGATCATGTGAACCAGGGAAAAACATCACCCCAGGGAATCTAACCTTTAGTCACATTTCTCTTCACCAAGTAATAGACTAATGATTTCATCCAATGATGTCATTTGAAGGAAAGACTCATCTTATGTTAGTATGATGGCTATTCTAGGTTGTCAGCTTGACTGTATCTGGAATGAACTATAATCTAGCAATGGAGGGCACATACCTGTGATCTGGATCTTAAGGCAAGAAGACAACATGCCTTTAACCCAGATCTTGAGGCAAGAGGCACACCTTTAATCTGGGCCACACTTTCTTCTAGAAGCCTAGATAAAGGCAATGGAAGAAAGAAGGATTTGCTTTTCTTTGCCTGCTTGCCTTGGCCTTGTTAGAACATCCAGAAGACCAGCTGAGACATCATGGGACTGAGCAGATACTAAATCTTGGACTTGCCATTCACAACCGTTGTTGGACTCTTTGGACTGCAGCCTGTAATTTCATTCCAATAAATCTATCTATCTATCTATCTATCTATCTATCTATCTATCTATCTATCTATCTATCTATCTATCTATCTATCTATCTACCTACCTACCTATCTATCATGTAATGTGTATATGTGTGTGTATACACACATATATATGTGGAGAGAGAGAGAGAGAGAGAGAGAGAGAGAGAGAGAGAGAGAGAGAGAGAGATTAATTCCATACATTCTTTGACTATAGAGAACGCTGACTAGCATCCTTATAGGTAAAGTCTATACTTCATCAAATAGCCAATTTGGTAGCTGGTTAAGAAATGATGATACAGACACTACCTCATTAGTAAAAATTTCAGTCACAGAATACAAGAGAATATGTGTTATGTGGGGCTCGTGTGGAAGAAGTTGTCCAGAGATTTATGGATTTGTACTTATTGGCAAAGCAATAGCTGTAGATAATTACCCAGGGAGAACATGCTAGAAAAATAGTAGGAGATGAAAATAGTCACCCTGAACCCTGCTCCCATCTCCTCAGGGTCTATTTTCAGCAGATCATTCAACCTTATAAGTGTCTCTCCTGTACCTCATGAGTCATATTCAAATTGCTCAAGGACCATCCCACAGCATCCTGGGCACTCTTGAACTTCATTGTCCCCTCTACTCTGCTTGATGGCGTTGATGATGATGATAACAATGATGACTAATTGAAGTTCTACAAGACCCTCAAATAACCTGATATGTGCTCATGTTGTCTAAACTTTTTTCAGTCTCTCTATGGCTGATGCAGCTCTAAGCACATGCACAGGCATTCTCTATATTCTAAAAACTCAGCATGTAAATTGGATCTCTGTGGACTAGAGTGAGTCCCGGGGTACTCGATTAGTCGCTACAGAATGGGTTGCTATAAAGTGGTTTCCCCTGGCATTTTGGCACTTTCTTCAAGTCAGCTCAGTACCTTCCCTCATGCCACACTATCAGACGGCATGGAGTCCTCTCCAAACACAGCTTCGTGATCTTCAACTTCCCTGCCAACAGAACCACAGCTTCTCAAACTATAGACTGTGACCTCATCTGGGGTCATGTGACAGAGCATATGAGTGGTCACAAAACGTTTCGAAACAATACAATGTTTTTCAACATGCAGCCACTAAAAACAAATTCAGAACCAAACATGCAACGAGTCCGAGGCATTTCTGGCAGCATTCACCTGTGTTGTGCTAGTGGCTTCACTGCATGTGAACACACAGTATAAATATGTTGCTCTTTGCATGCCTCCACACTGCCTGAGAACCCTCTGCACACATTCAAAACTACTACACATGACGAACTGCAATATTTTCATAGAACATGAAAAGTTTCCCGCTTTTATAGACATAATGACTTAATTACAGGAAACAATGACTTTCAGTAGTTCCCGGCCATCATTACTCAGCATGTATCAGATCAGTATGACTTTGGATTTCATCATGTTAGAATGTTTGATTTTTAAAATTTCTCATTTAAGTTGTTGACTTAAGTTTATAAATAACCATTAAATGAATTTTGACTTGGTATTAAGGCACACACTCCAACAATTTCTGAACTGGTCCTAAATATGTGTCTGCTATTTATTTGTCCTACACATTTATGCAGTGTAGTGTTCTCAGCATTAACAATTATAATACCAAAAAGTTGATCAACTCTGAAAATCCTTGAAGATGCTGTATATCCTGCATTACAGAATACTCTATAGAATATTTGTAAAACAAACATAAGTAGTATACCTCTTTCTCTAGCATGCAAATTTGCTTTCATCTTAAAAACCATCGTACCAAAGAATTACTTGAAAATAAAATTTTAGTGATTTGATTTGCCACAGGATCAGTGTCACTTCCTGGAATGTTCTTCTCCAGATGGTTTTTCTTTATTTCTGGCTTCTTTTCATAAGCGAGGTCTCAGTTTGTCTGTTCTCACTCCTGAGAACTCACCTTCAGGTGGTCCCTAGTTACTTCCTTTGTTACATGTGTAGCTTCACACACTATCTTCCCCCACTAGAACACAAAATCTGTTTCATCAAGGATGTCATCTGTCTTGGACAACGTAGTAACCTCGATGCCTAAAACAATAGATGACGTTCAAGTAATGGTTGATGACTACCGGATGAAACCATGACATGAATCAAGACTGTCCTCAAAGTATTTTAACATGTGGGCCGTAGTGTTTTTTAAGTCCTTTTTTTTTTTTTTTACTAGAGCCTCAATTCAAGGACTCATAATGGAGGAAAACTTTCATCCTGACCTTACCACCCTGGAAAAACAGCTAAACTTGAATTCCAGCTAATATATGCAACACAAACTGTATCTTAGAGTGGATTTAGTATCATTTGACGTTTTGTTGTTGTTGTTATTAAATAATGGTCACTTTTTCCACAACAAGAAAGGCATATTTATGAGCTGGTCTCACACTTCCCTCCCTCTGTGTAAATGCGTGCCTTTCCCTTATTCTCAGAGAGCACAGTGAATTTTTCAGATGGTCTCTTATCTCTTTAAACATTCCCACAATACTTTATCGCCAAAACACCTCCATAATAAGGTAGTGATGGCAGAGCTATGACAAAATATTACTATTTTAGATTCCAAACACCTTCCCAACATGAGATACTTTATCTCTCTTCTATGCTTTTGACATGCTAAGTGGTACCTTACAATTTCCAGTTGGCCCTCCACCTTACAGTATACACACGGGCAAGTTTTTCATGAGAGCAAGATCAAAGGATACTTTGAGAGGAGGCAGCTTGGAGCTGGTAGAGACCAAGAAGAAAATAAAAATAAAACTAAGAGATCAACTCATTTCTATTACATGTATTTATTATATTCCTTCGTAATCCTTAAAAGGAAGTGATAGGTTTGATATACCAATTTTAGATTTCACACTGGATGTCATATTGCTTCATATTGAACATTCTTCTTTTTAGGATAATGATTATTTAGTATTTCCGTGCCCAAACATTCATGCATTCTAAATCACTCTTTAGGGAATGTTTATAACTCATGGAAAGAGAGAACAGCCATACATGCTATTAAATGGAGAAAGCTACACCTTTCAACTGAGAGTACTCAACAGGTTTATTTTGGAACTAGGTTCCATTTCCATATGGCATCTGTTTGGTCTCCCATAAAAATTATCATATCAGACTGGGGTTGGGGGTAAGCAACAGTGAAAAAATAGTCTATAATACATTAAGAGCTTCTATATTTCTACTATAGGAATCATGGAGCTCAATAAGATAGGAGAATAAAATACCAATGATAGTAGCTAAGCAAAAATATAAGGAGCAGAAACTAAGGTTTCCTAGGAATTTTCCAGAATAAGCGGACAGACAGGGAGGCATCACTGTTCTCTGTCACTGGAGAAAGTAACCAGAGAAGCCTCATTAGTCATGAGGCAATGGATGTGAACCTGTAATGTCAGCCCTGTCAGTATCCACAGAGGTCTTCAATTACAGTGAGGTGGGCAGAGTTAAAGCACCCTTAGAAAGCCTATCCTCTATCCTAACTTGTATAGGGCCACTCAAATCTCGGTTTTCTTAGTAATCCTTTCTACCATTGAGTGCTCTCAACTTCCACTGAAAAATCCAATTTTCCATTTACACCTACAGAAAATTAAAACTATGAAGACTTTGGGAGATAGTCTAGGGCAGTGTTTCTCTAAAACTCTACCAGACCACCATCATAACTCCTATTTCAAGTATTTATTCTTTCCCTTTGTAGTCCTGAAAAGAAAACAATAAGAATAAGTTATTATAAGAATGCAAAAAGTCTGATCTGGTGGTGCAGGACTACAATGCCAACTACTCAGGTAGCTGAGGAAGGAAGATCACAAGGTCAAGGATAGTCTGAGCAACTTAGTGAGATCTTGCCACAAAATTAAAAAAAAGTGAAAAATGGCTTAGAGATATAGCTTAATGGTAGAGTGTTTGTCTAGTGCATGCAAGGCAGTGGGCATAATGCCCAGGGAAAAAAGTAAAACTTTATTGATATCTTGAAATCCATATATTATGGACTAATGCATGGGTCATTTAAAATAAAACAATATGTATTTTTGATATTTAAAATGCATCCCTAGCTATAATGGAAAGTACAATGAAGTGGTCAGAGACTAAGCTGTATATAGAATCAACACAAACATGACATCGTGCTGAACTGGTGATGCTTGAGTATTGGTTACTCAAATTTTAAGACTTTAGTTGTGATTGGTGCAGTGAGTCGCTGAAGCAGTAAAGAGCTCATGATAATACTCTGAAAAAATATAACGTTGTCCCTTTTTAATTTGCTAGCTTTATCTAGGAACACTAATGCCATTAAAAAATCATTTCAATATATAAAATGTACCTATGTAATGGACTCTGATTATTACAACCCATTTTCACTTGCATGAATGTAGGTCATAATTCATCATAGTATACAGGGCCCCAAACTATTATTAAGTTCCACTTTTGCTAGCATTTAGATAAGCAAATATGGTCCACCCTTTCCA